TGTATTTCCATTAGGAGAGTAACAAATTGAATTAACTGCATTTGAATGACAATCTAATTTGGTTTTTAATTATCCTGTCTTAACATCCCATAAAACAGATAGACTTATCATGACTATCAGATACTAATTTATTTCCATTAGGAGAGTAACAAATTGAGTTAACTTCACTTGAATGACCATACTCATTGGCTTTTAATTTTCCTGTCTTAACATCCCATAAACAGATAGACTCATCATAACTACCAGATACTAATTCATTTCAATTAGGAGAGTAACAAATTGAAAATACTTCATTTGAATGACCATCTAATTTGGCTTTTTATTTCCTGTCTTAACATCCCATAAACTAATAGGCTTATCATGACTATCAGATGCTAATTTAGTACTATCAGGAGTAGTAACAAATTGAATTAACTGCAAATTAATGACCATCTAATTTGGCTTTTCATTTTCCTATCTTAACATCCCATAAAAGATAAAAGGACAGACTTATCATGATTACAAGATGCTAATGTATTTCCATTAGGAGAGTAACAAATTGAATTAACTGCATTTGTATGACAATCTAATTTGGTTTTTAATTATCCTGTCTTAACATCCCATAAATGGATATTAACATCCCATAACGGATAGACTTTATCATAACTGCCAGATTTTAATGTATTTCCATTAGGAGAGTAACAAATTGAATTTACTTTATTTGAATGACCATCTAATTTGGCTTTTCATAATCCTGCCTTAACTTCCCATAAACGGATTGAGTTATCATGATTACAAGATGCTAATGTATTTCCATTAGGAGAGTAACAAATTGAATTAAACCATATCTGAATGACCATCTAATTTGGCTTTTAATTTTCCTGTTTTACGCATAAACGGATAGACTGATTTATGACTACCAGATACTAATGTATTTCCATTAGGTGAGTAACAAATTGAATTAACTGCATTTTTATGACCATCTTTATTGGCTTTTAATTTTCCTGTTTTAAGATTCCATAAACAGATAGACTTATCATGACTACCTGAAGATAATGTATTTCCATTAGGAGAGTAACAAATTGAATAAACCCTATCTGAATGACCTTCTAATTTGGCTTTTTATTAATCCTGTCTTAACATCCACCATAAACGGATAGATATATCATGACTACCAGATGCCATCATGAGACTAATAAATTGAATTAACTTCATTTTAATGACCATCTAATTTGACTTTTCATTATCCTGTCTTAACTCAAATGGATGGAGTCATCAATTACTACCGCACGCTATCAATGTATTATCAAGAAGAGAAGAAGATAATAAATAATAATTATAATTTGTTTATTTATATA